CCACCACTAATCTTACTCTCCATTTCTATAATTTTGTTATTTCAAGAATGTTGTATAAATGGAGTCATACAATATGTAACCTTTGGGTATTGGTTTTCTTCACTCAGCATAATTCTCTTGAATTAGTTGATGTATCAATAATGTGTCCTTTTTAAATTGTTGCATAGTATTCCACAGTATGAATGTACTGCAGCTTGTTTAACTATTCTACCATCGAAGGACATCTAGGTTATTTCTGAGTTTTGGCTATAAAGAAAGCTGTTATGAACATTCATGTGCAGGTTTCTGTGTGAACATAAATTCATTTCCCTGGATAAATGACCAAGAGTGAAATTATTGAATTGTATGGTAACTGCATGTTTATATTTATAAAAAAAGGGTAAATATTTTCCAGAATCACTATGACCTGATACATTACAACCAGCAATGTATGAGAGATCCAATTGCTCAGCTTCGTTGCCGGAATTTGGTGTTATCAGTAATTTTTATTTTAACCATTCTTATAGGTGTATAGCGATAGAGTGGTTCATTTGCATTTTCCTAATGGATGATTCTTTTGACTATGGCCTAACGTAGAACTACTTTCACATGGCTAAAAAGAACAGAAAAGTAAATGTCACTGTGGAAAGTTACCCTGGATTCATAGCAAGGCTAAAAACTCAGTCTTAGCTTATACCATAATAGTACAAGCAGCAGTCATAGGACCGGAAGGCAGAGGGGCATGGAAGGCATGTGCTTACATAGAGACCTCTGTTGATGTTTCCCTGACTGCACAGATTGAGTAGCAAAGAGAAACTTCTAGTTGGTACTGGTAGTGACACAATAATTCTATTTCCCACAAAACCGATGGAAAATATTATTCTGTTCATTCTCATGTGGAAAAAAAAGGGGGCTACATTTTTGCAATTGAGACTCTAGTAAAATCAGGGGAGAAACAGACGCAAGATATAAATTGTTAAGGATCCCTGAACCATTCAACATTAAGCTATATCTGGGATCTATTGTTACCAATGCCATTTTACGTCAGAATAATGACTTTTCCTTTAGGTGGGAGATCTAAAAGCCAGACTTGCCTCTCAGGAAGCGGAGTTGCAACTGAGAAATCATGATGCTGAAGCTCTGATCTCAAAGATCGGGCTTCAGACGGAGAAAGTGAGCCGGGAAAAGGCCATCGCCGACACCGAGGAGCAAAAGGTCAGGCTAATTCCACCATTTAGAGTGCTGAGCTATATTTAGCACAAAATAAACCTTTGTAGGTGAACAATTTTGAACAACTTCCTCTCCAGGGAGCATAAAGTCTAAAGAATTATTATAGTTACACATGTAACAGCATTTCACACCATGATTACCACTTGACCTTTCTTTGCATTATGCATTTCCCCAACCTTTTAGCTCTTTTAATGATATGAAAGAACAATAAATACTGAGCTCATTCAAGCATATAATGGATGTGGATCTTGAACATCAGGCCTATTTGTAATACAGTAAAGGTCAGGAAGTCACCTCTGAGGTTTCTAAAGGTTTCCAGTTTTAAGGCAAATTGAACAACTCAATTGTTAACAAAGCCCATTCCGTCACTTTGCAAGATGGTTTTCAAATTTTGCATTTTAATAATACAACTGGAGTTTATTATTAAGTCCTAAGCTAAATTTATTCTTTTTTATTCGATTGAGGCTCTGGCATTCTGTATTATGTTTTATTGTTGGAACTAATTACTTTTAAGATTAGCTAGATTCTGGTTTCTTTCTGCTCGGGTTTCCAGTCATTCTGAAATAAATACGACTTCTTTTGCCATCTTCTTTTACCAAAATTTCAGTTACAAATGGAAGATATTATTTTGTGTATCTTAATTCCCAAAAGAAAGAGTACAGTAAACAGATAATTAATAATTATTTGTTTAAAAATTGAATTAAATTATGGGGTAAAAATTTCTTATTTTAGACAAAAGGTTATAATCAAGAAAATAAATAATTAATAAAAAATTTAAAATCGCTAACACACTCATAGCCATTACCCTTGGCTAAAAACTGCAGGCAGAAAGTCTGTGAAGATAGATGAAGTCTTGCTTGAAAGACTACGGGTGATTTGTTTAGGTGTTTGTGCGTGGAATGCTCTTAATATCAGAGAACAGCTGTAATATT